TAGAATCATGATATTTGAAGTAAAATTGAAAACATGTCAAAGAACATTATAGTATAAGAAAAGATAGAATATCTAACTAATATTCATCAAAAATAAGTTACAACTGTTTGTTTTAGTATATCATCATTATGAAAATGACTTTTTAAGTAAATGATTATACTATATATAGAAAGCGCTGGGAATTTCTTGACATAATGTATAATTATCTTTTATGCTGGACTTATGTATTAGAAAATAAATCAAATTAAATAAAAGTACGTTCATGATCAAAATTTAGCAAATTACAACTTGTTAATAAACTTTTAATTCATTTTTCATATTTATCATCATTATAAGAACTAAATTTTGTAAAAGTCATTGTATATTCTCAAACAATTTCAAATTCTTCATTGCCTTATATATTTATCTATTGCTTTTCATATATTTGTGAGAAAATAATTTGAATAATACTGCCAACATACTAAATTCATAAGTGTTGAAAATTTATATTGTTAAGCTTTTTCACAAAATTATTATTTATATAAAAACACATTTTTGTCAAAGTAACTATACATTCTAATAGCATGTGAAGTTCTCTATCCTTCCTTATATACTCTTGTGAGAAATATATTTTCTATTCCTCTCCGTAAATTAAGTATGCTTCTTTGTATAATATTTTATAAGATGTTACAGTGTAAGTAATAGTAATAACAAGAAAAGCTTGTTAGATGTCACAAATAAGTAATTCGTTGACTATTATGTACATATCCTACATTCCATAAATGAATACTATTTTGTTTTAGACAACCCATCAATAAAGACACATTCAATAAATATCACATCAACCTTTATATGTTAAACACATGACATACGTTGAATAATCATTTACATCGCAATATGAAACTGAATACGGTTAAGAGTTTGGATTCTAGAATGATTATCGAAATAAACAAATATTGTTTAAATTTTCAATTCTTCGAAATATCAATCAGAAAATTATCAGCCGCTTGAACTTTCTTAAATACAGGATGAGATAGAGTTTTATGCAATATTAGAATGTATAATTAATCTGAGAAAAAATAGAAAAAAAAAATACAATTCGTAAGAGTCTCCTTGCAACGGTGCTTTTATTCTTTTTCATTTATTTCCTAATACACAAAAGTGCAGCAAAAATATAATTATATACGTTGATAGAAAACTCCGAGTGCTTTCGCAATATTTACATTTATTTTTTTAACAAGTTGTTTTCTAAGTGACAATATACTAAAACAACCGACTGTAACTATTTTTCTTCGAGAGAATCTGATGATTGAAACTTTTAACAAATACAAAGGGTTTGTTTATCAAGAAACGCTTTTGAAATATTGATAAATTTTAGAATAATATCTGCATTTATATCTTTTGAATCGATTGTTAATTAGATTTTTTTTCTTCAAAACAAACACTGAAACATCTTCAGAAAGAACACGTTCAAATGATATTTTTTTTATTAAAGTTGATCTAATTTTTTTAAAATAAAAAACTCCTACTTCGATAAAAAAAGAAATCTACAAGAATTGATCTCATTAGTATGTATGTCTGAAAATACGAACGGATCAAACAATTAAAACAAAACAGGATATTAAAACAAGTTACAACTAAAAATCTTATGTCAAGAATAATTGAAAAAAAATGAAATAAAACAACTGTTTCTTCCGAAATAATATTTCATAATCTGAAACACTTCTACCATTGATATTTATTTCAATTAAAATTTATTCAATTTCAGACATTTAATCAAAGTATTAAAAAGAACCAACAGTTACTTGACTTTGTTTCATTATATAAACTGTTATTCATATTTTTATGTGAATATTTATTTTAACTAATTAATAAGTTAACTATTGAAACTCTAAATAAAATAGAATATAGCTGTCCTACAGAATTCCAAGCATTGATAATTATTAAAGTAATAATTCATTTTAAACCTTCTTTTTGTATTTTATTATACAATTTTAGACAAGATGCATTTGATCAACGAGATTAATGACGTCAAAAGAATAACATAATAGGTATTACTCATAGAAATAATGTTTACAAATAACTATACTTCAATATTACGTCTACATTCTACATTCGTCTGTAGTCTTGCTTGAATAGTTCTTGATGGAGAAAAAAATATGACAAGACATCAGATAAAAGCTGAAATTATACTGTGACAAATTAATTATTATGTCTCTTCCTTCTTTTTTTGTCGAATTGATGAAGGTTTTGCTGGTTTTTATTTCTACTGTGTCATATTTGATGATTAGTCACTTATTCTAAAGACCAAAAACAAATAGACGCGAATTGAAAAATTAATGTGTAAATTTTTTCGATTTTAATCATAAAAAATAAAATGGAGAAGTGAATTATCTAGAATGTTCGCTTTTTTTCATTTAAACTAACAAATAAAAATAACAATGAATGAGCTGAACATCATACTATTCGATTTTCTTTCTTAATTTATTTTATAAAGATAAAGAGATCACAACAAGATAAAGATGATTTTTTGCAATGATGCTCTATATAACCACCACTTTTTTCTTTTTAACAGTTAAATAAAGAATTTCATTTTGAAGTAAAGATAAAGAAAAATTCTACTTAAAATAGGTCTTTAGCAGTTTTATTGATTCAAACATTTTTTAGTGGATATGGGTGTTGGTGTTCATATTCAGTTTAACCATACCAACATCCGTGTCGGTTGTGTTACAAATTTAAGATATTCGAACAATTTCGAGAGCTAGGAATTCGTCGATAAAGCGAATGCATCTAAAAAATGTGCAACTCATTTTTTTCAACTCTCTACGAAAACTTTCCAACATTATCGAGTACCGAAAACATAATTACAATCGATTAATCTCGACAATATTGAAATAATCTTTCGATGAATTACTCTATTCATCGAAGCATATCGTTGGTAAGAACCCACTTTATGTTATGCGCTATGATGTATCATACTTACATCACTTCTCATACGTTTCATTTTCTTCTGTGATAAAGAAAAAAACATGCCTTATTGTGAAGGAGAAAAATTCAAATTCGAACATGAAAAGGTGCTTATAGTCAGTTATATATATTAATTGATGTTTCGACTCTTGCATTCATTGTATAGCTCTAAAAAAGGTAAGCGTTGTGCAACAACAGTTGCTGAAGATCCAGAAACCCATTTACGAATGTTCTGTTGTCAAAGTTGTGCACTAATGTTTCAGCTACTCGTCAAACTTGACGAATCATACAATACGGCAGAGCTTCATAATAACTTGGAATTTTAACAGTTTCAGCACCCTATCTATACTATACTTTACTGTACACAAATACAATTCTGTTAATCAGTAAGAAGCTGCATGGAAGAGTTTCTAAATAATTGTACAACTGAACAGTGTCAACTAGTAAGACACTTCCTTTTGTTTTAAGAAACAACAATTTTTCTATTCACAATTTGTCTCGCAGAAGTTAACTGAGCACTGGTTTCTCTTGACAATGATGATCTTCACACTTCAATCGACAAGAAAAATATTCTTTCAAATGAATGCAGTTTAAGTACTGTTTTATTGAAACCAAAACTTTTGAAGCCGACTGCACGTTTTATTCTCATTTGTATACACGCCTTTATTCTAACTGTAACGATAGCCTGGAAATGCTTGTGAAGACGTGCACGAACTGCATTGAAAACCAGTTCAGTTCTGACTTTGTCGATTTGATAAGCAGTGCTTATGACAGAATTTAGCTCTGTTTCTCTAAAAGCTGTACCGTCTAGAACGATGAGTCATGTCGGAAAAGAAGAGTTCGATTTTTAAAATTGGATGATAATGTGGCTTTATCTTTTTATTGTAGATAAACGATTTTATCGATCGATTACTAGTGCAACTTGTTAAAGACAACGGCGTATATAGTGAAGACTCAATCATTTAGACTTTCTTTTATTAGTGCGAGCGACAAAATCAAACCATCATTTTTCAATTATTCATTGGCTCATTGGAGAGTAAATTTTGATTCTCATCGTATAGCATGTTTATATCTGTCATATGTTTATTGATTATTATTGAACTCCAAGTCATTATTGCTCGTCCTTCGTTTAATTCGATCATGCACTTAACTGCAGGCAAATTAAAAACTATTGACTCTGTTACTGGTCTTCCAGCACATTCAAACCTCTTTCGACAAACGATAGATGTAACTAACAGTGATGCTATACGTCGAAGCAGTTTGCCCACTAATGTTCGTCAAATCAAACTCAACTCTGACGCTAAATTAGACCCAACAGCATGTATTGTTCTTGATCCTATCGAATCTTTGGAATGTGTTCAGTGCTTATTTGAAAGTCAGCAACTGCTTGTACTTACATTTGACTCGCGTGCTCATGCTCATCTCATCTATAATAAATGGATTGTATCCGGCGCCAAATTTGTTAATGGTGGTACAGAGTGGGGTTGCCGCAATGTAACAACGCGAGAACCGATAGTGATCTTTCAACGAATATCAAAATTTCGACTCCAAAAAAAACAAATTTTTATCGACACTTTCAATGATACTAATATAAGTCCACTCCTTTGCTTTGCCAATATTTCAATGCACTTAACATGGGAACAGGGTAGTATAAAACCACGAGCATCAATGCCACTTAAACAACAAACAGAAGTTGCAGCGGCAAACTTGAAATCTATTTTTAGTTCATGGAGTTTCGATTCACAAAAGCCTCGTGCTGATGAAATATTTTATCCCGGACAAACCATTGATGTGAGTTGGTCGTATTCGAATATTGACAGAACAACTAGTCTAGAAATAGTACTTTACCGAAAACGACTTCTATTAGATGCAGAAATAAGTAAATTGAGTGTGAAAATCAATGCTATGCAATCGTCTTTCGTCATCCCTGCTATTTTGGAAACATCATCGAACGATCAATATTACTTTCAATATCGCTTTTCCCGTTCACTGATACCCTGTCGAAAAACAAGTGCTATCTTTTATATACCAACGCTGCCGTCTATCATTCCAGGAACACCGCCCACTGTCAACGATGTGTTTTATCCAAGTGATACAGTGCCACTATCATGGCAGAGTGTGAATTTTGCAGCGACATCACAAATTATTATACGCTTTCGTCGAGCACGTTCAATAATATCAGATGTCACGTTAGATACTTTCACAGTTTTGGCTATGGCCAATACGTATAATTACATGATTTCCTCTTCCTTAGATCGAGCTGATAACGATAAGTATACTACTTCGAGTTTGACTGTAAGTTAAATGAAAATTTTCCATTGAAGTTTTGTCTTATTTATCATGTTTAGACTGTACATCATGGTTATCCTTCAATTGTAAAAAGACCACAAATAAGTTCTTTGTGCCAATTCGACCTTATTTACGTCCAACATTTCCTGATGTTGATGACTGGTTTTCACCATTACAATCGGTGACACTGAAGTGGACTAGTGCTAACTTTGCTAGTGTCGATGATCTACTTACAATCAAACTTTGTCGTTATAATTTTTTGCTACCTGATAGTGACATCGACACATTCACATGCACAGTGGGTTCAAGTGGTTCGTGTTTGCGGACTTTGCCAGCTGTTGAAAAGACCCTTTCTGGCTATTATTTTGAGTTTAACTGGTGTAAACATTGGTATTCAACAGAATGTAAAGTAAAAAGTAACCGATTTTCCATTCCAACACACGTTATTGGGTCATGGAATTATGACGAAAAACGAGGTCAAGCGCTGGCATCGAAAACACTCTATTTGACCTCATGTACAAGTTTGTGTCCAACACGTGACACGGAATTGGCCTATATCTGTCAGATGTGTGCTAAAGGACGACCCATGGGCATACAGGTAAATTGCACAAACTGTTGGGCTACATATGATTACAGCATTGTTCAAATGGATATCGTACGCAACGACAATTCGCCCTCGCTAGATAAAATAACAGTACGCATGAGTTCACGTGTTTCAGTTAATCTTGATGTTGCTATTAGGGCTGATTATCGACGCAGTTTTCATGGTTGGTTGCCTCTACCACCCATTCCCATCGGTCCAATCATTCCAATTGTCATTGGTTCGGTTCAATTCGGAGTAGGATTGTCTTTTTCTCCCTCAATATCATGGAATATCACAGTGGACACAGTCGGAAATCTGGCCGCTGGTATGGATTATCAATGGCAAGCAAACTTAACACTGGTTAGTATTCCTGGCAATACAACCAAAGAGTATAAACAAAGTTTAACACGTAATATTCATCCAATGCAGGGAAACTTTCAAGCGAATCTTCTAGTTGATCTTGCCTATAGGCCAGAACTGGAACTGACGGTTGGCATTTTCACAGTTGGATTAGGCACTGATGGCTATATCATATTTGAGAGTGCATGGCGCTATCCACCATTTTCTGCTCTTTCAACACCGATTTTTGATTGGAATGTGCAAAAGATTGCTCCTATTCATGTTTCTTTTCCATCGAACTCATGTCTTGCGGCTCATTTCATTCGATATCATACAATGTACGGTATTCGTAATACTCGGATCTCCATCGGATTCCATCAAATTAGCAATCTCGTCAAGTTTTTCACTGATTTTGAATTGTCATTGTCGACAAGGTCCTTTCTCGATCTTGGGCCGTATGAATTATCTTCAGGCTGTATGTACCCAGCGTATCTAATAAATGCAGACAATCCACAAACAATATACTTAGTTCTCAATAGACAATTCAATGTGATAAATGACACATCAAATGAATATTTGCCAAGGATAGTTGTTACTGATTTAGCTTATGCCCTTAACATATCACCAACACGCATTTACTATAACAGCACGTTCAGTGTGCAACAAGATCAGAAGACAGGAGTGATGGTCGTATTTTTACCATCGGTTTCTCTCTCCATTGGTGATCCCACCGTGGTGACAATAGTACAGCAATTTCAACAACAAGCAATGAATTCAAGATCACTTCTCTATTCTGGTTTCGTTACAAATTTACTCAATCTTCAAGAAACATCCAGTATCAATCATTTCGGCTAAAGAAACTAATAACTTGACTATGAACTGTTGAAATATTCTCATGAAAATTGAACGCGTTCTGTGTATTATTAGACAGGACGGCTAAAAATGCTTTTCAGCTGAATAGAGCTCAAACTCCAAGAGAGACGAAAGTGAATATTATAGTAACTGAATACTTACCAAAAATGGAATTTTTTAGTATAAGTGGTTATTTATAAGATGAGAATGAGCTAGAGAATTATAGAATAATATGAACAATTTAGAAGTATAATTGGACACTTTCATTAATAGTCGACCACAAAAAAAGGCTTCCGAAAATCCTTTTTTTTATCTATCGAACTGTGAAAAATTCTCTTCATTAATTGTTTTGCTAAGAAAAGCTTTAAAATTTGATCAATATATACTGATTCACCTCGTTATTTATTGAACAAATTTTTAAAAGAATTTATTAAAATGATCAACGAAGATAGCTCTCCAAAGTCTAATAGACGAAAAAGATTTTTCGTGAACCTTATTTTTTCTGTTTGACAACTACGGGAAGTGTTCAATCACATTTCTAAAATCTTCAAAACTTTCTGTGAGTGTAAAGTCGATTCCCATCTTATGAATGACCAGTTATACTCGTAAATCCCATTATTGATGGGTTTTCATTTATTATAAAATTTAATTTTATGTCTCTTTTGAATTTGTGCTTTATGTCGGTGAAAAAGAAATTTCCTTCTCGTTTACATTCCTATAGTTAAAATAGTTGAATATCTTCAATTTTTCTGCGATGCATATCAGGCGTTCATTCATATGAATAACAGCCTGTTATCATCGTGTCTGCAGCTTCTAGACAACTATGTGATTTACCAACTAATAAAATAATCAGTGCTTTTCATTATTCACCTTCCAGACTCAATGAGAAGATGCACGCATGTTATAACAATTAAAGATTTTACTGAAAAAAACAACAAGTTTAATTTAGTTCATATGTAGATGCGGGCAGAGTATATGTTTCTATCTGTTGATAAAATAATATAGATCATGTTGATTTCTAGAAGGACAAAGAGAACCATTCAGAAGTAAAATAACTATATAACTATAAATAAAGGAAAACATGTCTGTATAGATTGAAAAAAAAGCAGTATATATGACAAAGTTGCACATGTTCAAGTATGAGAAGAAAGAAAAAATCGATTTAATGCTCTGAATAATTGCTGCGAGTCACGTATCCGGCCGTGTTCTCGTATTCGATGTAGCATAAAATAAGGAATCGAATGAGTGTTTACTTTAGAAGTTATCAATCATTAATTATACTCGATTGTATCGAGAAAAACAATTAACTATGAGAGCAATGCTATGATCTCAAGCTCGCCAGGAAGATGATTCTATGAAACATGTGGAAGAGTAAAAATATGTTTAATTCACCGAAAAACACGCTCTCTATTTTCCACGAAGTGACTAAAATGTTTTGAGAAGGGTATTTTGAAGACAAAAAGTTGTTGACATTGTTCCGTGCTGGACAACATTATAGATTTTTATCATAATCTGTGACAATTTCAAATTTTTCATATTTATGTGAAAAAGTAGTTGAAAAGTCATTTTTACGAAACAAGGTTGAATTTTTTAGTGCATATGTGACAAACATTTTTTTCCACAAATTTTTTCCACATGTACATACAAAACAACTGCTCTCTAATATTGCTCATCATTCTGTTTTGACTTATTCTTTTCTTTCCTTATTGTTCAAGCTATTTTTATTTCTGAAATATATAAAAGAATGCAATTGGAAATGCTGAAATCTCTTGAAAAGCTGATGAATACTAATGTTCACCGTGAATCATATATGAGACTAATTTTTCAATTGTTTAGTTTCAGTTATACCTGAAAAAATAAAAATTATACGTTTGTTTTCGTATTTCATTTTAGAAACTAGTTTTAGTAACAGATGATAATGCAACACTAATTCGAATGCAGTCGTGTCTGTGACGTGTCCGTAAACAATAATTATGTTCGTAAAATATTCTTGCATAGAAGAAATTGATCATTATGAATCAGAATCATTGGTGGCGAAACGTGTAGGCTAGATAAGGCTTGAGTCTCCACCAAATTTGACACTATTAAGTTCAACATCGCCTGAATTATGAATTTGAGGTTTGGGCGCACGCAAATTCAACTTTGTCTCATAAGACGAATCTTTTCTCAGCGTGGAGATGGAAGACTCCGATATGTTTATTGATATTGGTATGTAAGACGTTATTATAGGATAACAAGTCAACTTCCATTAAGTCGCAGCCGATTACTCCGCTGCATCTGACGCTAACCTTTCTTTAGGCATTAACCAATATATTATAGAGAGCGCCAATATTGTAGATATCTCACGAATATCTTACAATTAGAATTCAATTCAAATATAGTTACATTATATTGATTTAACCTGATTTTTCTGTGAATTGTCGTCGAACTATTTTCTATTCTATTGCACTCTAAAATGTTTATTATTGGCATGAGACCACCGACTAATAATCATAAAAACGGACCTTAAGTTTTTAGCAGCAAGATCTCTTGTATCTTATTCTCATAATTTAAGTTATTCCTTGAATTAGTCTCATCTGTTTCAAAGAAAATAGCGAGAATGTTTTTAAAGAGGCCGTCACATGCTTTTTGGGTAGGAATTTCTCACGATACACATTGAAGATAGCTCTAAAAAAATTGCAGTCTCATAAACAAAAAACAAAAGAGGTGTTTTTCGTTAAGAAATTAGTAATTTAAAGTGCTGACTGGGCTAACTGGAGCCCAGTGTAACCGTCGGATTATGACCAAAAAAGACAATTATTAGATAATAATCTTCATGTTAGATGTGAAAGAATAATTCTATTTGCTCATTTGAAACCAGAATTTTCTCCACTTCACAATTATGTCTAATACTCGAAGATACAATCATATACGGTAAAGAAAACTACGACAAATTCTTTGTAATCAGAAAGTTACATGAGACTGTGACTAAGACTGGCCATAGAAAATGTGCAGCCTTCTTCTCTGACATAGATCACTGTATGCTTGACTTTTATACATAAATTTAAAGAGAAGAAAATTGTGAACACAAAGGATCAAATTAGAGCTATTTGTTTAAACACAACACGAACACTACTATTGAACAACTCATTTTTCTTTTATCAATATCCGATGATCATGTCAAGCTATAGTGCTAACGCTTATTTATTCTTATAGCCATATGGTGTTGTTTTGTATGCTTTATTTATACCAGAAGAAAATAATTCCAACATTTTAAACTAGCTTCGCCCAGTCGAATGGCTGCAATTGAATTTTTCTTTGCTTGTGTATTTATCTAAGATTTTATTCATAGAGATATGACACAGAGTTTTTTCCTTTATATATAGTCTTTTTTCAAATGGAAGTTATAAGTTTTAAAGAACGATACTGTTTTCAGGAGGTTCAGACGTTGTAGAGAATCGTTAACATCGAAATTCAATGTAAAATGCTAGCTTTCTCCTCACTTAGTGGTTTCATGCATTTGACTAAAGAAAGATTGAAATATGTACCAATAGATAATGAGTATATTCGTACTTTCCGTTCATTCTTTTCTTGCTACAACGTTCCAGATTTAATTGAACATGTAATTATAATTGTCCATTGCAAAAAAAGTGACAAAAAAAATCTGAATTTTTAATCGATTGAAGTGGCACGATTTTAAACCAGTTTCAATCAGATTTTCTAATTTTAATCCATTAAAATCGATTATTTGAATTTTATTCGATAAATAATCTAATTTATCGGCGTTTCGCCTTATCTGCATAAATATAAATTGGTGTCGTATGTGAAAATGTATATCAAAGATAAAGGTAGCATTACACTTACCATTTATCAATGTGAGAAGTCAGAAAAAATAATTAAAAATTGGAGTTTCTAAGTTAAATCTCGAGAAAAACGTGTTTTATAGTCATAGCAATTAAAATCGATAAAAATCAGAAAGTCTGATTAAAATCGTACCATTTCAATGGATTAAAAATAAAAATAAATTGATAAAAATCAGATCTTTTATCGTTTTTTTTTTGCATGGGTATACCTTTGATGATATTCAGTGCTTAGTTGTAACCACAAGTTTGTAAGGACGAACTACAGTTATCCGGCATACGAACTCTATAAATTTTCTCCAAACATATTTTCAGTTATATAGTCATTCAAATTTTTAGTGCGAACTTTTTTAAATGAGCTTAATAATTCTATCAAAATTTTTTCATTTTTGTATTCTATGTCAGTACCATTTTAAATATAATCGAGGATACTATTATTAAGCTGATTAGAAAAGTTTGTATGAAAAATTGTAACGAAAATCCTATATCGGCGTAGCAAGAAGAGAACGAATGGAAAGTAGTGCTTATAACATATAACTAATAAAAAGCAGAAAATATAATTTCGAAAATTTATAAAAAAGAATTGGGTCTTATTTGTTCTGTCATATATTTTTTTCAATGCGTTTAGATGCTCAAAATTCTATCATTTTTTTCTGGAAAAATACTGGACATTTTTCGCCGTTAAAAATTCAGATGTCAAAACTCTGCACAAAGTGAATAAACTATATAAAAACGTGACACATTTTTTAAAGATCAATTTACTACAAAAAGTGACATGTCTGTCTGATTGGGGATTGACGTTGAACGAAAGTTAATGATATTTTTCTCATGAACACCTATTAAAACGTCATTTAACGCAAATTTCGGCTAGAATTTTAGAAAACGCAGTTAAATATGTTCTTATTTCAATATGCAAGATTCAACTGTTAAGTGACTGTGTTTGGCAGTATCAACACATGTTTCCTCTTTCCAAGGCGACGGCAATGCAAAAGAAGAGCGCAAATTAAGAATAGAGAGAATTGAAATAGCCAAAAAAAAGAGTACGAACGATGACGAGACGTGTCTTTTTTGCGCGTTCTGTACACATTGTGAAAGGGAGATGTTCTCTCTCTGTAAGTAAGCATACATCACTTAGAAAAAAGCCAGTCTCTTCTTTTCAATGAC